TACATACATACATACATACATACATACATACGTTTCTTCGTCAACTCGATCGCGTACTCTTGAAACTGATTCTCAGACTGATAGACTCGAGCCTTTTGTGCCACCCAGCGGTGCTGCTATTTCCACGAATCTGCGTGCCGTTTCGTCTCCATCTAAAAAAGAATAGGAAAAAGAAGGAATCGTAAGAGTATGCGACAAACGACGATATCATTCTGCCGATACGTACACATCCTCGTATTCGCGTCATCTGACGATTGACGATTGACGATTTCATCTTATTCGACGCGTGATCTACGCTTTTATAACGATATATCGGTGAAGCGAAGGCAATTACCTTGCGTTTCAATCACAACCTTTGTGATTCCAACTTATTTATGTCGACATTTATTTATTTCGTTCGTACGTTACGGGGAATTTAGAGAATGCACTCGCTCACGTACGTACGAGTAGAGTACGTGAAATAATCAAACGAATGATATTTGATTAACGAAAACGTTTCTCAAAATCGTTCCCTATGTTTTTTTTTTACTTTTTTAATTGCATTTGTAAAGATGTAAATGTAAATTTCAACCAAGCTAAAATACGTTTGATCGACGAATTAATATTGTTACCATATTTGAAAATTATATATTACACGGACTCTCTTTTAATTGTTTAATTGTTTAATTTCATAAGAATAAAGAAATTGAGACGGGACGGAAGAGAAGGTTTGTTTACAATTGTGCAGCAACAGCAATCAACCGAGTTACATCGAGCCTTTACCGTTTCAAAACGTTTGCAATTATACCACGCTCTATCAACAGTTTAATCTAAACTGTTAACCGAGTCGAATCTATCGAGCAAAAATATCTGTCCAACCGGTCGTCGTCGACGGTGAAAGACGGTAGAGTAAAGTAAAGTAGAGAGCGGATGTCTATTCGTTTGTAGGAAATTCCAAAGTGCAAAAATGCAAGAAAAATGCATGCGCAAAATACTCGAAGCAAGATACTTGTAATATCTAGTTGCACCCAACTACTTCAATATCAGATATCAAGTAGACGCACGTGTCGATTCTAATTTCAAAATTAAACAGACTTGACGATTGAGGGGGAATTATTGAAATAGGAAGGAGGAACGTAATTGACGAGTAGAGAAATTATCTATCGTATTGCAACGAGACGAATTGAGTCTGCTCCTTTGTTAAACTGGTTAAAAGTCAAACGACTGTCCGCGATATCCTTCGTGCATACGCACCTTCATCGATTTTTTTCCCCCGCTTTTTTTAACAGGATCGATTTAAGGTACGGGCATATTTAAGAATATTTCTTTTCCTTTTCCGTCCTTTTCCGTTATCGCAAAGTTTACGATCGGAAGTCTACAACATTGGAACAGGCAACAAGCTACACATATATACGAATCCCGCAAGAATCAACGTACTGAGATGAGAGCTACATACACCAGCTACAGACGAAATAAAAATAAAAAGATTCGTAAGATTGAAAGTAAAAGTAAACGAACGTCGTCGTTGGAATACGAATTTCCATGCATTTATGGGGGATTTAACACTTGTTGTCCATTGCCAAAATAATTAGAACGACTGGCAAGTAGCATCGCTGGCTACTTGCCCTTTCTTTTTTTTAATAGAAATAGTTTGCCACGTTGCTTCGATCATCTGATTAATTGCCACGTGTAACTTGTACAT